GAATAGCCTTCAGTAATAGTAATAAATCACACAGCAATAGTAAATCCAAGATACTTTAGTGGCACATCTCCCAGGTAGCTAGCACAACTAAAACAAGGTAGTTGCAGTAGGCTTAGGCTAATGTTAGTTTTTTAAAAATAAGATATTTCTTTAGGTTGGAGGTGGAGTCTTTTGACGCTGAGAGCAGCTTGGTTGCAGGCAAACAGAGTTTGCATTGCATGGTCAGCTCTCGCCCATCCCTTTCTTCTTTAAATGTGAAGTGATGTCGGAATTTCCAAGTAAGAAATGAATTCCTGCCCGTGCACTGCTGGCTCTGTTGTCCTGGCTTCGGGTCCATTGTGTAACTAACGCCACCAACATTAACAGGACGCTTACATTAGAGCCTCTTATTGCGTGTTTTGTTTGGATTGAAGGAATAGCCAAACATATGAAACAGGAAAAGGCCGCCGTGTAATCAGTTTATTTCAACAGAGTAACTGTATTCTAATTATCACCTTTTTAAATGGTAACTGTAGCGAAATACAGTTACTCATATTTTGTATTTTAAATACGTAACACCGGTACATGTATTCTATTACTCCCCAACACTGTTTGTAGTTAACACCAAGACTTACTAACTTCTGTTTTCAACCTATGCGCATACTTTTGGAAGCAGAGGGCTGACTGATGAAGAAAGGATTTTACTTATAATTGTAGAAGGAGAGTCAGACTTTTAGACATTAGAGCAGGAAGGAGGGAGTTCCAGAGCACATACCAACTTTTGTGGAGCTCAAGCAGGGATAAAGCGACAGCACGCAACATCAGTTATTGATAGAAATCAAAGTGTAACCTTCGGCTCTGAAAATCTTTTTGGCATTACGATATTGAGAAGGGGAAATAAGAGCCTTTTCAGTTTATTACTCACACGCACTGTTTCTACAGTCATTGACACACACACATGCATAAATGTGGAGTCCAAAATCAGCTAAATATTTCTTAAAGTGTTGAATTATATCAATTAATATTTGCTGAAAGTGCAGAAAACTGTGCCTCTCCTTTCTTTATCAATTCATTGTCAACTCTATAAAAACTGGGCCGAAAGACTTCAACAGAACCATGCTGGCCACAATCACCAAACACTACTGATTACATCAAACATTAAATAGGCAACCGGGTTTTTGAAAATGTCAAAACACACAAACCACAGAGAGGTGCTCATGTCTGAAAGCACCCTTAAAACTTAAAACATTCTTATAACCAGTTAAAGAAATGTTGCCTCATGATAAATGTGTGTTTATCACTGGGAAATGAAGACTGATATCCAGTCACAGGACAGAAGTTGTTTTGAAAAACAAAAAAAAGAAAAAAAAACAACCAAAACAAAAAGCCACTCAGGACTGGAAGTAGGCTAAAGGGCACTCCTGTGACCTGGATTCATAATGAATATTTGT